AAGAAAAAAACTAATTGTTTGGGGGTTGAAACTTTTGATTATTTTGTCTTTTTGACGATTAAAATATATTTTTTGTGTAATTGATTCACAAGGAAAATTGTGAAAGTACTAAATATGGTGATATAATTAGTTGTACAAAACATGAATTTGATTTATCTCATAATATATCTGAAATACTGATATTTAAAATTATATCTTATTAAATTCGATTAAAGAAGAATAAATATATATATATATATAAGAAATATTAAAGTACAAGAAAATATAATAAAAATTCATTGAATAAATCTTAAGGACCAAAAAGATATAGAATTTTACCTATATTAATTAATAAATAGGTACCAAAAATTATATTTTGAAGGATAATGATAATAGTAATTAACTTGAAAAAGTCGAATAATTTCTAAAAGACAATACAACGTTGAGTGACTATGAAGTCAATTATTCAAAATTCACAGAGTATACAAACTTCTAACTCAATGTTTATAAGCATGTAAAGTGTGAATATAATATAATTGAAACATTTTTTAAAAAAAAAAATTAAGTAATAATTCTTATAATAATATGATATAATTAAGATATGTCTCAATTAAAACTATTTTATGGATATATATAAGTCAAAATCAAACAATGATTATAAGTTTATTGTACTATCAAATATTGAAATCAAACTTACGAATATTAAGTCTTGCTAGATTAATTTAGTGTGGTGATGACATAATATTTTACTTTTTTTATTTACAAAAACTGAAATTATCTAATTAATATTTTTAATATCATATAATTCAGAGCCCGGAGTGTAAAGGGTATAAAATATTAACAAAATTTCAAACGGTATTTGGGTTTATTAGCGACTAGCTTCGTCCTTATAAAAGCCCAACTTTCAGTCTTTATGTTTTACTTTAAAATTGCGATATATTGAGCTATAGAACTCCAAATTGGGCGATTCAAAAGGCTAAGTTGTGAGATTTTTCGAGGGCAACACATTGGTGAGCTTGAAATCTGATTTGGGGACCCGATATGAGGTAAATTTTGTGTTTTAACTGCTGTCAACTTTTGGGAAACTTTTAGAAGGTGATTTCTTGGCCATTTTAGGTCTGAATCTAGTGATTCAAGAACTTATATTGTGGGGGTTTTCGTGAGGATCGTCGTGGTGTGATTGGTTTTGGCAGTTGGACCTTCATTTTTGAAATTCTTGTAAATAGCTGCTACCATTGTTGCTGATTTTTTGCGTAGAATTTGAGTTTTTAGTTGCACGTTCATGTTGGGACTGTCTTGAGTCCCGAATTGTGTTTCATTTTGGAAAAAAAAATTCGAGAGTTGTTTAGGACCTTTATTTGGGGTTAATTCTGGATTCCTCAACGCGGATTTCACTTTTTCCGTTTTGACCGCGAAATTGATCCGTCTCCATTTCTTGCGATTTTAGTGTTTAAATAACCGTAATAACGTTGTGACTCTATTTTTGATAGTGTATCAACGTTTCTAGCGATTTTCAATTTTTTTTAAAAAAATCATTGCTAGGCAACGATTTTAGAAAAAAATAAAAAGAAATATTAACATTAATATAATTATCCGAAGATTGAATTTATCAACAATATCATATAAAAGTATAAAATTAATTAAATAAATTCAAACTCACCTTATAAAGAAAAGGCCTTTAAAAACTTTAGAAAATTAGAAAAATAGAAAGGCTTTTAAGAATGTTGAAAAATTGAAAACTACAATACAATTTGAATGAGCAATTCAATCAATTTATAAAAAAGTAAAAGTGTAACATTCTGAGTTGACACTATTTACACGTGAATTGTATTAAATCAATTTATAATAAAACAAAAACTGCACTATTTACATGTGAATGACAATTCAATCAATTCATAACAAAATAAAAATTACACTATTTGCATGTGAATTACAATTCAATCAATTTATAACAAAATAAAAATTACAGTATTTATATGTGAATTATAATTCAATCAATTTATAACAAAATTAAAATGTAATATGTGACTTTGACACTATTTGCATGTGAATTGACACAATTTTTTATAAATGCATGTGAATTTTTTTTAAGTTTGAATATTTTTGTAAGAATTTGACATATCACCTTTTTTTTTTAAGTTGAC